TTTTTAAACCACTGTCATTTTGTCCATATATACCATTTTGTCCATATTTCCCCGTAAGTTCGTTGGCATATTGAAACTCTTTTTCTATTTGAACAACTAAGTATTCTAAAAGCTGCTTTGATGTTCTCTACTATTAAAAGGCAATACATCGGTTGTTCTTTATATTTGTGATGATTTTTTATATTAAAAGCCAATCCAGGAGTTTTATGTGTTTCATATAGCATACATTTTCTCACTTCTTAACTTTATGTTTAACTTAATAATAATGATGTTTTTTTCCAATAACCATGATAGATTTTAACTTATTGCTGCAATCCCTGAAAGGGTTATTTTCATTTGGAAACATTTTTTGATCTATATTTTCACGTAAAACTGGATGTCAGTACTGCGTGATATCAGGCTGTTCGAAACAAAATTTTAACCTGAGACTTTGTAAATAAAAAATCGTACTCTTTTCATAGCTCTGCAATGACTCCATAACAACATTAGTGCATGAAAACCCGCCATTGATTTGAATTGTAAATCATAGTTTATAATTGATGTTTTTACAAATATTTACCTACACACTAACTTGCACTATATTTAAATATTACTTTGTTGTAGTACTAAGTATCCACAAAAAATTTAATTATATCTTGTGCCAAGACATTGCGCAATTAGGATAAGATCATTTTTACGTCAAAGCTTCATAATATTCGGCGAAATTGATTGATGCAATTCGTTGAGTAAAACACGTGGCATTCGTCAAACATTGAAATTATCATCATCAGTTTATATCTTCTCGCAGCACGATTTCAATTCATACTTGACTCAAATTTATAACAACGAATAATAATCGAATGATTTTTTTTGTCACATAATTCAGTTTTGTGATGAAATTTTTTGCGTGTGTTCATAATCGCATTTTTATAGCTGAATGAGTTATAAGATAATTAGGCAAAAGTACTTATGATTTCTGTAATAAACTCTCCATGTCAAAGGATTGGAATGCATTGCAAAAATAATAAAGCTTGGTTATTTTTCGTACTATTAAAATAGTTTAATTTTGGAAGAGTGATTCAAATAGTTACTATGTGAAATGATAACATAAAATATTTTGGTATTCCAAATTGGAACTGTAGTTCCCAATGTCACGTTCGATTCTATCAATAACTGCAACTATTATTTATTTGTCAACAGAATTTTATAGCATACGCTCAAGTTATTTTAATAATGACTCAATGAATTTTAATAATGACGCTGACAACAGAGAATAGTGATTTATAGCTTATTTTAATTTGGAGTATATTACGACGTGATTAGTGGTTTTGCTGTTTATGAATGATGTCTTTTTATGTTCAGTCACTTAACACTTCATTTGAAACACAATAAGAAAATTTACGATGCACCTATAATTATGCGGTTTAAAATAAAATGTCAGAGATAAAAAAAAAATCAACTTCCATAATTGTACTATTGGAAATTGACTATTACGTAGAACTATATTTTATTTATTAATATTTTTATTGAAATAAATTTATCGAAAATAGGTAATTACCACTGATTTTACGATGAATTTTGTCATTTTATTGTCGATCAATGTATTAGATAAAATACGGTCAAAATGGTATATATGGACAAATTGGCACAGCGGTTTTATTTAAAGGTGGTTAATTCTTTGAACATTTCCGCAATTGTACAACGTGACAAGAGCCGTAATCACAATCCTGTCAGATGTAGAGCGTCATTGTCACAGTCTTGTTGGAATCATCAGTTCCAACGTGTATTGTGCCTTTAAAAGTTTATTTTGAGCGTGGTTTTCTTATGTTTTATTGAAGACCTATTTATTGTTATGAGTAATTATTTCTATTAAAATCAATAAACTTTTGCCAGTATTAGTGTTTTCGATCGATTTTATTGGAATTATCAGATATTTTATGGCATTTTAATTACTAATATTTACTTTTGGACGCAATGACATATTACTATTTTGCAGGAACTACAGTGTAGTTCTTTCGAGACCAGGAGAAAAGAAAATTGAAACCTGTCAAAGATAGCTTTTTACCTTTAATCTAACTACTTCTAAAAACAAACCACAAAATCCACCAGTAAAAATATATGACTTGTTTACTTTGGGCTTATGCTTTATGTGCTAAGGTCCCAAAGAAGGCATTAAAATTAAAATGAAAATTAGCATCTCAGTATGTGCTTACCCAAATTACTATTTTATTCGCACTATATGGACAAATTTTTGTAAAGGTTGCATTTTTCCTTAATAAGTAAGAATGATATTATAGTACCTACATTCAATCAAAATATTATGTTACTGGTAGTCAATGAACCGAAAATGAAAAAAAACGACTGGGACTGGTTATAATATCATTAAACTAGCTGTAAGTGGAATTCTGTCTTAAGGCAATTAAGGCATCGTGCCTTAAGGCAAATTGCTGGAACTTCCCGTACCAAAAATTATTATTTTTTTAAAAACGATTAACATTCTTGAAAAAAAAATTACTTTGAAAAAATAAGATTTTTGAGAAACTAAATTGGACAAAAAATTACTTTTTTTTGAAAAAAATTTTTTTTTAAAAAAAAAAATTTTTTTTAATTTCTTTTTTTTTGAAAAAAAAATTTTCTTTATTTTGACATATTGTGGAAGATCTGAACTTTTTTTCAAAGCAATCGTACTGCTTTAACTGCATAATAACAAAATATAAAGCGCGTAAGCGCCGCGTCGCTGTCCAACGCATAAGCATTGGTACGGAACCCATAACAATGTTAACAAAATGTATACTTATTGTTAAAATCTCTATAAAATATCTGATGATTTGATGTGCATATGTCTAATGATCATTTTTGACCGCCGAATGGCTCATTTTTTTACTTTTTCCTCCATATCTCCGAAACCGCTAGACCTACCTTCATGAAAATTTTATCGATTCTTCATCTTGTCAATACAAGTGAAATGTTTCTTGAATTATTCAAATCGGACGCTCCGTTCTCTTAAAAACTGAGTTACCGTTTTCGGCACTTTTTGCCCCGTATCTTCGGAACGGCTAGACCTGCCTTCGCCAAAAACTAATCAGCACGTCTCCTTATCAATACGAATCGAATGTTTTTTGAATTATTCAAATCGGTTGATCCGTGTTCCCGAAATCGTCGACGAAAATTTGTATCCGCACATACATACACACACGTACATACATACACACACACATACACACACACATACACACACACATACACACACACATACACACACACACACACACACACATACATCCATTTTTTCTAAGGTATGCCAAAATGTTCAGAAACCTTTGAAACGTAAAGATATATAAAAATTTTCATTTTCGATTTTTTTGCGATTACTATAACTTGCCCTACGGGAAGTTAATAAATAAATATCATAAATAAGCAAAACACCAAGTCATTTTGCCCGTACTTGCCCTTTTATTTTTCGAAAGTGTAAGATTACTAAATTAACTAGTGGTGCATGGCATCGTGCCTTAAGGCAAATTGCTGGAATTAAAAAAAAAGATTCCAATATTTATTAAAATATTGAAGAAAAAACAGATTATTTAGAATTTTAAAATTTTTTAAAACAATTGACCTTTTTGATTTTTTTTAATATTTTATAAATATTTTGGAAACTTTAAACTTTTTTTCAAAGAAATCGCAACCCGTTAGCTGCGTACAAACAAAATATCGAAGCGCGTGAGCACCGCATCGCAGCCAACGGATAAACATTGGTACGCAATCCATAAAAATGTAAACAAAATTTGTTTTTATTATGAAATTATCTATAAAATATCTGATAATTTTATGTGCATATGTCTAATGATCTTTATGGTCCGCCAAATGGCGTTATTTTACTCTTTTTATTGGATCTTCAAAGCCGCTAAACCTGCTTTCCCAAAAATTTCATCAGTTCTTTATTCCATCAATACAAAAAATGTTTTTTAATTCATTCAAATCGGACGCTCCGTTCTCTCAAAAATTAATTATTATCTTTGGTACTTTTTGCCCCGTATCTCTGGAACAGCTGGAGACCTGCCTTTGCCAAAAACTAATTAGCACGTCTAAGGAGACGTGGGATCATATTGATAAGGATCAATATGAATCAAATGTTTTTTGAATCATTCAATCGGTTCGAATCGTTGACAAAAATTTGTGTCCGCACACACACACACACACACACGCATACATCAATTTTTTTAAGGTATGTCATAATGTACAGAAACCTTTGGAACGTAAATATATATATATATATATATATATATATATATATATATATAAATTTTCATTTTCGATTTTATGCGATTACTAAAACTAATCCTACGGGAAGTTAATGAATGAATAAGAGATTAGTGAATATAAGATTTATGATTAATTTTGTCTTAACGATAAGTTTCATATATTTATCTCTTTGCAATAAGTAATAAACAACCATAGATTATTATAAGCAATAATATAGTAAAATCAGTATCAAAATTACTTAAGTATTCACTTTCATACCATCCAATGCACACCACAAACTTGAGAAAACAAACAACAGATCCTGCTTTCCACGTCAGCATCTCTAACATTTTTATCCACAAATATATAATATTTTTTATGTCGATCTGAGCATTGGATTCGTAGCATTGTCAATTCAGAATCTGTCCACCCCTACTGAGGTTGAAGGCAATATTTCGTCGGGTGGCGTGCGGACGTACGTTCGGGTGTCGCTGAGGAGCGCGCAGGCGCCGCCCGAACGGATTGCTCCCGGTGCACGTCTGTGATAAGAGAAAGAAAACCGCCGAATAAATTTCCTCGGCCGAACTGGTAGTGTGTGTCAACGCACGGCGTACAACGGACGCACGATTTAACGTATATTATCGTAACGGTTAACGTCGCGTGTTTCATTCATAGACTCGCTTCGGAACTAAATAGTCGAACATACAAAAAAAAAAAAAAAAAATTAACAGTGTCGAATTAAACTAAAATATTTTTTTTTTCTGTCCTGTTATAATCTGTCAATTACTACCATGGTCGCGGTCGCTATTTGCTGCATTTTAGTACTTCTCGCTGTTTTTATCGTCCTAATCATCGTTATCGGACAGACAATGAAAGTGCCCGGGGCTGATTGAACTGTCTTCATTTTTTAACTTATGCGCTTAGTACCAGCTTAGTGTCGCATGTGCAAACGTAAGTTTCAAACAAATGTTTAGAGTGTGTTGTTAAAATTATTATCAAAAACTATTTCAAATGTGTTTTGTATCGGTGTGTTATGGTAAGAGTTGACCAAAAACAACGGTTATAGTGGTAATTAAAATTAATGATCTGCTGCAAAACCGCAAGTGTACGTTTCGATATTGGTTTATGAGAGTGGATAAGTAAATTAACACATAGTATATATTACCCAAATTGGTTTGTTGTGTGATTAATTAACCAGTGTCGAAATTATCTAAATATATGCTTTTGTATAATACGAAAATATATAAATCCGCTTCTAGTCTAATAGGGGATAATTACCATTACTGACTGGAGTGAAAGTTCGGAACACAATTCTCAAATTATTCGTCCAAAACAAGCTTTTATTACTCTTGATTTAATTTTCACCATTTGGAAGCTAAATAAAGGAATAAGAATTGCTGTATTTCCATTACAAGAACATTTATGTCTTCCAATCACTACTTGTATGGTTAGACCTGATAATTGCTTTTCCTGATCAAGTTTTCAAACAAGTCAAATAAGGTCTTCAACGTTGAATTCTGTTAGTTATTCTGAAATTTCACCGCTCACCATTGAGTTTTTTTTTATCAATTAATAGTGCAATATTTAATTATTTACATTTAAAACTTCTGCAATAAAAATCTTTCATTATTTACCTTAAGTCTGTATTCATTAATCCACCATTTTATTCCATTTATGCTACATTGGTTAGTGCCTTTAAAGTGTGACATTTATCGAAATTGGTTTGTTGTGTGATTTACCAACCAGTTATCTCCAAAATTCTCGGTATACATGTTTTTGTATAACACGAAAATATATACAAACGATATAGAATTCGCCTCAAGTCTAAAAGGGGCTAATTACCATTACTGGCTGGAGTGAAAGGTCGAACCACAACTCCCAAATTATTTGTACAAAACAAGCTGTTATTGCTCCGAATTTAATTTTTAACCATTTAATTCAATTAAGAGAAAAGCAAAGAAAAATTGATAAACAAAGAAATAAGGATTGCTGTATTTCTAATATATGAACAACCATTGCTTCCAATCACGGGTCTGATGATAGTTTCTTGCGCTTAAGGGGGACACCAGAAGTCTAACATTTTTTGGGAAACCGCAAAAAAGTACAAACAATACTTTAACTATTTTTTGCAAGTTATTAATCAAAGTTTTGGAAATTTAGAAAAAAATTAAAAATGGCTATGAAATTTTAATTCTAGAAGATGATAAAGAGAAAGGTCTCAATAATTTAGAAAAATTTTAAAAATGGCCATGAGATTTTAATTCTAGAAGGTGATAAAGAGAAAGGTCAGAAAAATTGGCACCTGATGATACGCATAATTTTAGCTAATAATCTGAAGAAAAATTTTGTTAATCTAGAATAATGTCGCAATTGTATGAAGTACGAACAAGTTTAAAAAGTGAAAGGATAATATTTATTTTACAACTTTTAATGATATTCCCAAATTTTTACAAAATGAAAAAATGGTATTTAGAGATGAGGGTAGATCGTACTGAAAAGTAGTTTATAAAAACTGTATAAATTTTTTAAATAAATTGGGTCAGTAGATGTTGAGAAATCGTGGGTATCGTATCGAGAAAGAGAATTATCTTATGTTAGTCCAATAGTTATATTTCCGAAAATAATTTAAATTTTGAAATATTCTCTAGTACACATATTCTTGAACAGTTAAACGTTAAGAATTTGGTAACAAAATCGCTTTATTTTAATTCTAGATCAGATTATGCCATTAAGTTTAAAAAATGTAATAAGGTCTTTAACGTAGAATTTTGTTAGTTTTTTCGGAATTTAATACAACAGTTTAACATTGAGTTCTTCTTATCGATTAGTAGTGAAATTATTAATTATTTACATTTTAAAATTCTACAATGAAATTTTTTTATTATTTGCATTATGTCTGTATTCATCTTTCCACCATTTACCTCTTTTTATGCTACGTTTATTGTTTAAAATTTAAAATTCTACTATTGTTTTAAACGACCAGATTCAAGTTTTATTTTTCCAAACCATGTATTCAATTTAGAAAAAAGAAGATGATTAAAGAAACTAGAATTGCTGTATTTCTAATACGTATATAAACATCAATTGTATTCGATCACTATTTGTTCGAATAGGTCTGATAATTGCTTTTTCGCTTAAGTTTGCAATTAACTATAATGAAGTCTTTAACGTTGAATTTTGTTATTTTTTTACAGTTTACCATTGAGCTTTTTGTCATCACTTAATAGAGCAATATTTAATTATTTATACTTCAAACTTTTACATTAATTCTCAATTTCCCTCTATTTATGCTACATCGGTATCTTTAAAATGCAACTATTATCGAAACTGTTTTGTTGTGTGATTTACCCACCAGTAAGCTCCAAAATTTTCTATATACATATTTTTGTATAATACGAAAATATATACAAACGATATACAATTCGCCTCAAGTCTAAAAAGGGCTAATTAGCATTAAAGGCTGGAGTGAAAGGTCGAACCACAATTCGCAAATTATTGTTACAAAACAAGCTGTTGTTGCTTTGGATTTAATTTTGTTATTTTAACCATTTATTTAATTTTGAAAAAAGTAAAGATAAACAAAGAAATGGGAATTGCAGTATTTTTATATATTAGCTACCCTTGCTTTGAGTCACTATCTATTTGTATGTATAGGTCTAATTATTGCTATTAAGGGGGTATTCTGATCTAGACCTTTTAAAAAATCGATTTTGTTTTTGTTTTATATATTAGCTATTCAATAATATGTGCACAGAAGGATTTTTCAAAATTTAAATTATTTTCGGAGATATAGCTGTTTGACCACGATAATGATGTTCCCTTCCATCGCAAAACTTAAAATGCGTTTTTCTCGAAACTGTTTTTTTCGATACGATGCCACCAAAGATTACTTGATTTTTTTACAAAGTCTTCTTTTCAGTGTAAACTACTTATTCTCAAATTTTGATTTTTACTATTTAAAAAAAAATCGAAAATATCAAGAAAAGCTTTAATATATTTTGCAACAGACAGTCGCTATTTTATGAAAATACATTTTTTAACGTGCCCGTAGTTCATTTAATGGCAACATTATTGTACATTAATGATTTTTTTTAGATTGTTTGGAGGGCTAAAATCATGGGTATGGTCCGGTGCAAATTTTTTGAGTCCCCTGACTTTCACACCTTTTGAATTTGAACTTTTTGACTATTTTAAATTTTTTGTATAATTAATTTGTATTTTAAAAACATTAATTAATAACTTGTAAAAAAAATAGTAAGAATTTCGTTTGATTGTTTACGGCTTTTCAAAAAGCGTTTGAAGTTCATGCCTTTAGTCCTTTTTTTTACAAGCAAAAATCGTGCAGTTATTATGATTATAAAATTACTTTCCTTTGAGTATTAACCATGAATAAGCTTGATAAGAGCCTGAAACAATATTTATTAATATTGATTACGGCTTGCTTATGAATAAATAAATAAATATCCCTTCAACGTAATAAATAACAATTTTTAGAATTTTCTTCTGGAATTTAATGCAATAGCTCACCATTGTGTTTTGTTTTTAACGATTAATAGTGCAATATTGAATTATTTACATTTGAAAATTCCGCATAATTTTTTTTAATTTTTTAACATTATGCCTGTATTCATTAATCCAGCATTTTCCTCTATTTACGCTACTTTGGTTAGAGCCTTTAAAATGCGACTATTATCTCAAACGATCAGATTTAAGTTTTATTACCGTCGTATTATCTCATCTTAAAAAGCTTTACTATAAATAAATACACTTAGTTCCGTAGAGTCGAGAGAACGAAGTAGCATTTAGCATGCAAATTTAATCGCATTAGTCATACAACATCCAGTTATTGAATATCAAATGGAAACACATTTGCGAAACATATTATATTAATAGATTTTATTTTAAATTTTGTTGCCAGTTCCGACAATAAAACAAAACGGCACATTCGTTTTTAATAGCTCATGTTCCAATATCAATCAAACGTTATTTAAAACACGCCATAACTTAATCAAAAACACATGCGCCAATACTCGATTTACAATTTATTGGAATACATTTGTTTATTGAGCACACACTTCGCTATAAACGTCATTTACGATATGGAAATCGTAAGATATAATGAAATAAGCTATCAAAAATAAATGAAGTTATTTAAGTGTTTATTAAAAATTCTTGCATCTGGAATTAGTATGAATTGAATTTATTTTTTCAAGCGGAAATAATTCTGACAGAATTGCGCAGTATAAATCTTTGGAAGGGATAAACTTATTAATATTATAAATTTGCAAACATAAAATTGCAAACACAACGAATCTGAAAATACATGACAAATACTACGATACAGGGTGTCCCAGAATTCAACGTCAAGCCGAAACCGGGTGATAGTACTGATCATAAAAATCGGCATATAATCAAGTATATAAACATAGAAACCTATGAAGAAAAAAAAAACTCAAGTATAGTTTGAAACTTATGAGCTTTTAAGAGCAACCTAGAGCTTTGGTAAAAATGTGACCAATTCTCGGTTAATGTGAACATTTTATTATTTTGTTCATTTAACTTTTGGATCAGTATCCGTAAACAGCATTTCTAAAAACACAGTAAAAACATAATAACCCAATTGCCCCAAGGTTTCAACAATTAAGACTTTTTGTTAAACTATGAATTTATATTATAAAAAATTATTCAATATTGTGAGAGCCTCATCGAAAAAAATGCAATGAAGTGTATTGGAAAATTTCATCAAAAGTTGATGCATTTAATCAGAATTGTGGAATGGTGAATACTTTATAGGTTTATAATAAAAAAATCTAGTAAAAAAATAAAAACCTAAAAGTAACAAGACTTTTCTAGTTCATTTTACTCACAATCAGTTCGAATATTTGTTGTGCTA